CAATACTGTACATAGGCCTAGGGTTTCAAGTTTTGGTTATATGTTGGATTTACGTCTCCATCTCAACCAAGAATCAAAGGTAAAGAATAGCACTAAATCAAATCAAACTTTATTTAAAGTATATTTCAAGTTTGATTTCATTTAGTCCTATTCTTTAACTTTGATTCTTGGTTGAGATGGCGACGTGAATCCAACATATCAATTATTAATTTGTAGACAAACTGGAATTTGTTGACCACCAAACACAATTCAATATGACTTTTGCAATACAGTTAATGTCAATAAAACATATACACTATATATACAGTACCAGTCAAAAGTTTGGACACACCTACTCATTCCAGGGTTTTTCTTTATTTTTACTATTTTCTACATTGTAGAATAATAGTGAAGACATCAAACTATGTAATAACACATATGGAATCATGTAGTACCCAAAAAAGTGTTAAACAAATATTTTATGTTTGAATTTCTTCAAAGTAGCCACCCTTTGCCTTGATTACAGCTTTACACACTCTTGGCATTCTCTCAACCAGCTTCATGAGGTAGTCACCTAGAATGCATTTGAATTAACAGGTGTGCCTTGTTAAAAGTAAATTTGTTGTTGTTCTTAATGCGTTTGAGCCAATCAGTTGTGTTGTGACAAGGTAGGGGTAGTGTACTGAAGATAGCCCTGTTTGGTAAAAGACCTAGTCAATATTATGGCAAGAACAGCTCAAATAAGCAAAGAGAAACGACAGTCCATCATTACTTTAAGACATGAAGGTCAGTCAATCCAGACTGCAGTCGCAAAAACCATCAAGCGCTATGGGAGTGTGGTGCCAGGCAAATAACCTCTCCCTCAATTTCGACAAAACAAAGGAGCTGATTGTGGACTTCAGGAAACTGCAGAGGGAGCGCGCCCCTTTTCACATCGACGGGTCAGCTGTGCAGCAGGTGCAAAGCTTCAAGTTCCTCGGCGTACACATCACTGACGATCTGAAATGGTCCACCCACACAGACAGTGTGGTGAAGAAGGCGCAACAGCGCCTCTTCAACCTCAGGAGGCTGAAGAAATTTGGCTTGGCACCTAAAACCCTCACAAACTTTTACAGATGCACAATTGAGAGCATCCTGTCAGGCTGTATCACCGCCTGGTACGGCAACTGCACCGTCCGCAACCGCAGGGCTCTCCAGAGGCTGGTGCGGCCTGCCCAACGCATCACCGGGGGCAAACTACCTGCCCTCCAGGACACCTACAGCACCCGATGTCACAGGAAGGCCAAAAAGATAATCAAGGACAACAACCACCGAAGCCACTGCCTGTTCACCCTGCTATCATCCAGAAGGCGAAGTCAGTACAGGTGCATCAAAGCTGGGACCGAGAGACTGAAAAAAAGCTTATATCTCAAGGTCATCAGACTGCTAAATAGCCATCACTAGGCGGCTTCCACACGGTTACATAACCCTGCACCTTAGAGGATGCTGCCCCATATACATAGACTTGAAATCACTGGCCACTTTAATAATGGAACACTAGTCACTCTAATAATGTTTACATATTTTTGCTTTACTCATCTCATATGTATATACTGTATTTTATTCTAATGTATTTTAGTCTATGCCTGCTCATCCTAATATTTCTAATATTTCTATATTCCTTAATTCCATTCTTTTACTTTTAGGTTGTGTGTATTGTGTATTGTTGTGAATTGTTAGATATACTGCACTGTTGGAGCTAGAAACACAAGCATTTTGCTACACCCGCAATAACATCTGCTAAACATGTGTATGTGACAAATAAAAATTTGATTTGATTTTGATTTTGAAACTGGCTCTCATGAGGGCCGCCACAGGAAAGGAAGACCCAGAGTTACATCTGCTGCAGAGGATACGTTCATTAGAGTTACCAGCCTCACAAATTGCAGCCCAAATAAATGTTTCACAGAGTTCAAGTAACAGACACATCTCAACATCAACTGTTCAGAGGAGACTGCGTGAATCAGTCCTTCATGGTCGAATTGCTGCAAAAAAAACAATACTAAAGGACACCAATAAGAAGAAGAGACTTGCTTGGGCCAAGAAACACGAGCAATGGACATTAGACCGGTGGAAATGTGTCCTTTGGTCTGATGTGTCCAAATTTGAGAGTTTTGGTTCCAACCGCTGTGTCTTTGTGAGACGCAGTGTAGGTGAACGGATGATCTCTGCATGTGTGGTTCCCACCTTGAAGCATGGAGGAGGAGATGTGATGGTGTGGGGGTGCTTTGCTGGTGACACTGTCAGTGATTTAGTTAGAATTCAAGGCACACTTAACTAGCATGGCTACCACAGCATTCTGCAGTGATACGCCATCCCGTCTGGTTTCCTCTTAGTGGGACTATCATTTGTTTTTCAACAGGACAATGACCCAACACACACCTCCAGGCTGTGTAAGGGCTATTTGACCAAGGAGAGTGGTGGAGTGCTGCATCAGATGTTCTGGCCTCCACAATAACCCGACCTCAACCCAATTGAGATGGTTTGGGATGAGTTGGACTGCAGAGTGAAGGAAAAGCAGCCAACAAGTGCTCAGCATATGTGGGAACTCCTTCAAGACTGTTGGAAAAGCATTCCTCATTAAGCTGGTTGAGAGAATGCCAAGAGTGTGCAAAGCTGTCATCAAGGCAATGGGTGGCTATTTGAAGAATCTAAAATCTAAAATATATTTTGATGTGTTTAAAACTTTTTTGGTTACTACATGATTCCATATGTGTTATTTCATAGTTTTGATGTCTTCACTATTATTATACAATGTAAAAAATTGTAAGTCTGTGGAGATCTTCACAATTGCTTTAATAATCTGTGCAGATTCCCGAACAGCATTGATCACTTGCCCTAATTACTTTTAATGTAATCTCAACTACAATCCAGGTCATTTGGTTGAGCTATTAGATGAAGCACAGTGATAAAACATTAAGTTGTTGTATAAATACAAAATAATTGACATTGTATTCCCATTTCAAATTTGGTTTTGCTTTTAGATGGTTGAAAGCAGAGTGATAACACATTGGGAATTCAACAAACTTCTGGCTGTCTTTTTGAGTGGTTGAATAAAGGTTATTACCCACATATTACCCACATTTCCACTTTGAAATGATGTGGTGTGCGCAGTGGGTAGTGACTGCTGTGGTGTGCAGAGTTGGGAGAGGGAGGGAGGGCTGCAATGTGGGTAAGAGAGAGAGAGAGGAGATGCAGGAGTGGGCTCCTGGGGGATTTAGTGAGTTTTATTAAGCATGTGGCACTGAACACCGCACTGAGTGGGATCTCACCAAGGAAAATAAATGTTAGCTTAACAACACTACTTGGTGTAATTTATGCCATTGGACCACCATTTCTAAGCAGGAAATATTAAAACAAATTAATGTTGTGATTCTGATCATTAAGAATACACTCTGCTTGGTAAAGGTTATGTTTCACTTGTGCCAGTTTGTAGCACAAGTTGAGTATGGCCAATGTAAACATTGTTTTGGACTCACTTTGATCTACCCTATAATGATGACATCATGGCCAGTGTCTACTGTTACACAACAAGTCCCTGGTGCTCACCTCTGCTACAATGATACCAGCTGCACAGGGCTTGTTTAAAGTGTGACTGCCTTATTCCATCTATACACTCTTTAAAAAAAAAGGTGCTATCTAGGACCTAAAAGGGTTCTTCGACTGTCCCCGTAGGAGATCCCTTTGAATAACTATTTTTGGTTCCAGGTAGACCCTTTTGGGGTTCATGTATAACCCTTTCTACAGAGGGTTCTACATGGAACCCAAAAGGGTTATACCTGGAAGCAAAAAGGGTTTTACCTGGAACCAAAAGGGTTCTCCTATGCTGAAGAACCCTTTTGGAACCCTTTTTTCTAGCCTGCAAGTGAATATTAACTATGGCTTTAAAAGCAACAAAATAATCTATGCTGTATGCACAGCTGCATATTCCAAATTGAGCTTGGCATTTAACCTGCACTGCAATCACACTCCACTTCTCCAACTTACTCTAATGCCTGGCCAGCTTCTGTCCTCCAGTGTCCCTCCCCACTGCCTTCCCTCGCCTTAGAATTACCCGGGAGAGCCAAGCGCCAAAGAGGATCCTTTCTCTTTTAATGTAGCACATCATAAAAGCTGGGAGAAAAATGTTAATAATGCCGCTTGCATGTCTGCCAAGCATACAAACCTTGATCTTATGTATTTTGAGGCATTGAAGGGGAAGCATTGAAACGGCCCACCCCCCCTAGGTATTTAAAAATGGATGAAGATAAAATACTGTGTGTCGTACTTCCATACATCTATTCATAATCATATGTGCTGAGAGGTGTTCTACACAGACTGTAAATACATTTGTTTGGGGATTTTTTCATCTGGTTTGCACAAGACCTGGATGCCTGATAGATGCCAATAGATGATGTGGGTGTTTGTTGGTTTCTATACTGCGATAAGCTTAGATTATAAAAGACACTTGACATCTGTTTAGTTCTATTTAAATGTCAGGGAATGGCTGTCATATATAGTAGACTACAGAGTACTGCTCTACCACCCCCAGACAGGAGACCATACCATAGCAACTCTCTTTTGTTTGTTTTGTGTGTATGAGTCACTTGGGCTCTGTGACAATGTGATCATTACACTCCAGTACCTGTCTGGCTCTATGCCTCCAATGGTCTGTTGAAGTCTGGGGCCTTGTTGCTGAGCTTTCTAAGAGGCTCGATAGAAATGTACAAAGTGTCAACATAATAAGACGCCAAGGGGGTGTGTTTTTATTATAATATGTTTACTCTGAAATGAATCCACACCGGCGTAACAATCATCCAGTCTAAATTGCTTTTTGTCAGTCAGTTAATAATTTGTTACCATTTGTATTCAGTGGATTAATTTGATCTCCCTCAGCAAATCCTGTGTCTAATGATGATTGTGTTGTGTGTAACCCCTGAAATGGATGTGTGATAATGACAGACTTTATGACACTGTGTGTGTCTGTGTGTGTGTTCCTCCAGACGCTCCCCACCACGCAGTATGAGCTGGAGATCGTAGCCCAGGACATGAAGGGAAGAGATGTAGGACTGACAGGAACATCCACGGCAACCATCACCATCACAGACAAGAACGACCACGCCCCAGAGTTCACCCACTCACTGGTGAGTACATGCACCCCTGCTTGTTCCCCTGACCCCTGACCCTTGTCCTCTGTCTGTCCTCTCTGCCCTGTACCCTGTCCTCTGTCTGTCCCCTGTCCTCTGTCTGTCCTCTCTGTCTTTTGTCCCCTGTCCTCTGTCTGTCATTTCTGCCATATCCCCTGTTCTCTGTCCCCTATCTTCTGTCCCTGTTATCACTTTTCTGTCCCCTGTACTCTGTCATCTGTCCCTATTCGCAGATGCAGCTGGTGACGGGCATGACTCACGTACAGGTGATGGAGTGGGTTACACACACACACACTCACTCACTTAAACAGTTATCCTCCATGACCTCTGCTTTCCAATTTAAAATGAAAGTTATAATTCTTAGAGCCTGCCCTAGGAAAGGCTCAGCTCACATCAGTCGTCGTCCTGTGTGTGTGTGTGTGTGTGTGTGTGTGTGTCTGTGTGTGTCTGTGTGTGTGTGTGTGTGACCACATGTAATAAACAACACATCACAGTAGTCAGGTGGTAGGGGCTCATAAGGGAGATAAGGGAATGTTTGTGTGTGTGCTTATGTGTTGTGCTGCTATGATCATGGTGTTGGTTTCCTTTGTCAGCACAGCCTCAATGCTCTAGTAGAAACCCTGTATGGCACACGTAACCCAATACCCAGCAGCCACACTATCTACGTCATTCAGAAAAAAATGCACTTAACAAACTTAACCTACTTGCCTGTTTGTGCAAACTCATGTGGAATCTTTAAAAAAAACTGCAACCGTTGCTGTTTATTTTATTCTTGAGGTGAAGAAAAAAGCATCAGGCCTTGGAGGAGAGGTCGTAATGTTGAGTTGTGTGGTTTTTAATGGAAATGCCCAGAGCTGTTGTCAGGCTTCGAGACACATCAACCCCAACCTCCGCCAGGCGGGCTCCCATAATGCATTGCCGTGTCAGAGCGTTGTGAGATCTTCACAGTGAAATGTTTGGCTGAGTAGGCATGCTGGGGCCGCGCTGAGTGCACTCTGTCCGTGTCCTCACTTAATGCCTCTATCTTTCTTCTGGGGATGTATTTAACAGCGTGGAGAAATGTTCCTTTTAAAAACACAGCCATTTAAGGTTCTGAACTCCTCATATACAGTGAGGGAAAAAAGTATTTGATCCCCTGCTGATTTTGTACGTTTGCCCACTGACAAAGAAATGATCAGTCTATAATTTTAATGGTAGGTTTATTTGAACAGTGAGAGACAGAATAACAACAAAAAAATCCAGAAAAACGCATGTCAAAAATGTTATAAATTGATTTGCATTTTTATGAAGGAAATAAGTATTTGACCCCCTCTCAATCAGAAAGATTTCTGGCTCCCAGGTGTCTTTTATACAGGTAACGAGCTGAGATTAGGAGCACACTCTTAAAGGGAGTGCTCCTAATCTCAGTTTGTTACCTGTATAAAAGACACCTGTCCACAGAAGCAATCAATCAATCAGATTCCAAACTCTCCACCATGGCTAAGACCAAAGAGCTCTCCAAGGATGTCAGGGACAAGATTGTAGACCTACACAAGGCTGGAATGGGCTACAAGACCATCGCCAAGCAGCTTGGTGAGAAGGTGACAACAGTTGGTGCGATTTTTCGCAAATGGAAGAAACACAAAATAATTGTCAATCTCCCTCGGCCTGGGGCTCCATGCAAGATCTCACCGCCTGAAGTTGCAATGATCATGAGAACGGTGAGGAATCAGCCCAGAACTACACGGGAGGATCTTGTCAATGATCTCAAGGCAGCTGGGACCATAGTCACCAAGAAAACAACTGGTAACACACTATGCCGTGAAGGACTGAAATCCTGCAGCGCCCGCAAGGTCCCCCTGCTCAAGAAAGCACTTACAGTGGGGAGAACAAGTATTTGATACACTGCCGATTTTGCAGGTTTTCCTACTTACAAAGCATGTAGAGGTCTGTAATTTTTTATCATAGGTACACTTCAACTGTGAGAGAAGGAATCTAAAACAAAAATCCAGAAAATCACATTGTATGATTTCTAAGTAATTAATTTGCATTTTATTGCATGACATAAGTATTTGATCACCTACCAACCAGTAAGAATTCCGGCTCTCACAGACCTGTTAGTTTTTCTTTAAGAAGCCCTCCTGTTCTCCACTCATTACCTGATTAACTGCACCTGTTTGAACTCGTCACCTGTATAAAAGACACCTGTCCACACACTCAATCAAACAGACTCCAACCTCTCCACAATGGCCAAGACCAGAGCGCTGTGTAAGGACATCAGGGTTAAAATTGTAGACCTGCACAAGGCTGGGATGGGCTACAGGAAAATAGGCAAGCAGCTTGGTGAGAAGGCAACAACTGTTGGCGCAATTATTAGAAAATGGAATAAGTTCAAGATGACGGTCAATCAGCCTCGGTCTGGGGCTCCATGCAAGATCTCACCTCGTGGGGCATCAATGATCATGAGGAAGGTGAGGGATCAGCCCAGAACTACACGGCAGGACCTTGTCAATGACCTGAAGAGAGCTGGGACCACAGTCTCAAAGAAAACCATTAGTAACACACTACGCCGTCATGGATTAAAATCCTGCAGCGCACGCAAGGTCCCCCTTCTCAAGCCAGCGCATGTCCAGGCCCGTCTGAAGTTTGCCAATGACCATCTGGATTATCCAGAGGAGGAATGGGAGAAGGTCATGTGGTCTGATGAGACAAAAATAGAGCTTTTTGGTCTAAACTCCACTCGCCGTGTTTGGAGGAAGAAGAAGGATGAGTACAACCCCAAGAACACCATCCCAACCGTGAAGCATGGAGGTGGAAAAATCATTCTTTGGGGATGCTTTTCTGCAAAGGGGACAGGACGACTGCACCGTATTGAGGGGAGGATGGAAGGGGCCATGTATCGCAAGATCTTGGCCAACAACCTCCTTCCCTCAGTAAGAGCATTGAAGATGGGTCGTGGCTGGGTCTTCCAGCATGACAACGACCCGAAACACACAGCCAGGGCAACTAAGGAGTGGCTACGTCAGAAGCATCTCAAGGTCCTGGAGTGGCCTAGCCAGTCTCCAGACCTGAACCCAATAGAAAATCTTTGGAGGGAGCTGAAAGTCCGTATTGCCTAGCGACAGCCCCGAAACCTGAAGGATCTGGAGAAGGTCTGTATGGAGGAGTGGGCCAAAATCCCTGCTGCAGTGTGTGCAAACCTGGCCAAGACCTACAGGAAACGTATGATCTCTGTAATTGCAAACAAAGGTTTCTGTACCAAATATTAAGTTCTGCTTTTCTGATGTATCAAATACTTATGTCATGCAATAAAAAGAAAATTAATTACTTAAAAATCATACAATGTGATTTTCTGGATTTTTGTTTTAGATTCCGCCTCTCACAGTTGAAGTGTACCTATGATAAAAATTACAGACCTCTACATGCTTTGTAAGTAGGAAAACCTGCAAAATCAGCAGTGTATCAAATACTTGTTCTCCCCACTGTATACATGCCCGTCTGAAGTTTGCCAACGATCATTTGAATGATTCAGAGGAGAACTGGGTGAAAGTGTTGTGGTCAGATGAGACCAAAATTGAGCTCTTTGGCATCAACTCAACTCGCCGTGTTTGGAGGAGGAGGAATGCTGCCAATGACCCCAAGAACACCATCCCCACCGTCAAACATGGAGGTGGAAACATTATGCTTTGGGGGTGTTTTTCTGCTAAGGGGACAGGACAACTTCACTGCATCAAAGGGACGATGGACGGGGCCATGTACCGTCAAATCTTGGGTGAGAACCTCCTTCCCTCAGCCAGGGCATTGAAAATGGGTCGTGGATGAGTATTCCAGCATAACAATGACCCAAAACACACGGCCAAGGCAACAAAGGAGTGGCTCAAGAAGAAGCACATTAAGGTCCTGGAGTGGCCTAGCCAGTCTCCAGACCTTAATCCCGTAGAAAATCTGTGGAGGGAGCTGAAGGTTCGAGTTGCCAAACGTCAGCCTCAAAACCTTAATGACTTGGAGAAGATCTGCAAAGAGGAGTGGGACAAAATCCCTCCTGAGATGTGTGCAAACCTGGTGGCCAACTACAAGAAACGTCTGACCTCTGTGATTGCCAACAAGGGTTTTGCCACCAAGTACTAAGTCATGTTTTGCAGAGGGGTCAAATACTTATTTCCCTCATTAAAATGCAAATCAATTTATAACATTTTTGACATGCATTTTTCTGGATTTTTTTGTTGTTATTCTGTCTCTCACTGTTCAAATAAACCTACCATTAAAATTATAGACTGATAATTTCTTTGTCAGTGGGCAAACGTACAAAATCAGCAGGGGATCAAGTACTTTTTTCACTCACTGTAAGTCCTCCACTCGCTCAGCAGCCTCTAACCTAGTCATGAATAATTTCTTATGACTTCAAACTATTGTGGGTGTCCCCATGTTTATGTGAATGTGGGCACATTCATAGATATTGAATTCCATTTGTGTGAAGATATTCTGCACTCTTAAAAAATATTTTAAAATAACATATCCTTCTGGATGTTGAAGGTTTTCCAACTGAAAACTCTGTCGACAAACATAGATGTGCATCTCTTGCAGCGTGTATGTGCTGCATTCAAGCGGAGAGAAAGACGTGTTCTGGTTTACCTTTTATTATTCATCAAGCGGAGAAGACCTAGGCTTCCTACCCTGCATTACACACAGGTGCTGATACACACAGGTGCTGATAGTGTTGGCATGACTCCACATAACACTAGTCTACTTGAAGATGTGCTTAAGTCAACCAGTGGGGGATTCACAATGTACCATGTCTACCCCCCGCGCTCTTGAAATAGACTTTAGAGCCTATGATTCCCATACAGAGTAGTGAGATATAATAAAGCTCCACAAAGACAAACATGGTTTGTAAGGTATTACATATTCTTTAGTGCTATCTAAACACCACTCAGAGGGAATTCTGTTGGATTTGTATTCCATATCTTTTCCCATTTTCTCTCTTACACAGTGTGAAACTACTCTGAAATGTAGTTACCAAGTTCAGGTTGACTTTAACTCATCAAAGATTCTGAGTGAAATGGACTCACACAGGTCACCATGCAGTCTCCTGGAGCTGGAGGGCAGTGTGGGGTCATCATAGAACACACTGTTGTTTCATGTCTGGTAAAGATGGACAGACTACAGTATGTTACAGTGAGTCAGTAGTAAACCTATCATAGTCTTCTTGGTTTTTAGACCATATAATGGCCATTGGTTGGTGCATAGGCCTACAGATATTATACACACTCATGAGTCTGTCGAGCTGCACTGTTGTTCTCCTTAGCAAGTTTCTCTGAGGGCCCTGTGTAATCTATCCGCTCAACTTTTTTAATCTAAGGCTAAGTTGCTCTTTTATACTTACGAATGTATTACATTCTGTGAAGCTTCTTTAGGGGATTGGGTTCCACAATGATTCAATTTTTCTGATCAAGTTCTAATCTCATTTTTATGAGAGTGGAAACAACAAAAGATGATTGGGAATCCCCTGGTATAAGAATAATTTAAAGACTGAATATGTATAGTAGGAGATTAATGCCACTCCTGATGAAAACCAACAGCAATACACCACTGACTTATATTCTTATATTATTTATTTATTCTGGAAGGTTATACTATGCTAATATCTTAGCATAATGCTTGATAGATACTTCTGTTGGACCTTGTTCCTATTTGGGGTTCAAAATAAAGATAGAGCACCAACCAATACCACTTTGTGCATTGACTACTAACTACTCCACACAGTGTATGTTACTGTGTATTGTCTGTCTTTGAAATGTGTTTATAGACCACTGCTGTTAACTGACCAGTGGACTCTGACTCTTCCTGTCAGTCTACATGTCTGCCTTTACCATGGTTTGACCTGTAGTCTAACTGCTGTTCCAGCACAGCTCTGACCACTGATCCACACCACTAAAACACACATTAGCAAACATTTCAAAGTAGGACAGAGGACAGTAACAGCCCCTATTACATAATTTATGCTTGTCCTGAAGTCTCCCTAATTAAAGCCTGTGGTGACACAGAGAGGATAGGCTGGTGATACTACTTTCTGGTTCAAGTGGACAGTGTACCCCTGCCACCCCCTCACCAGCAACCCCACCCCCGTCTGGCCCTGGGTGATAACTGGCATCTCATTTCTGACTAGCCCGTTCCATAGTTTCTTAGCAGCCACTGATCTGGCTTATCACTCAGGGAGACTGACAGCTAAGCCATGCCCTTGCTCCCCTGTGGTGACGGGAGAATATGCCTGCCCTCCAAATGATAATGATATTAAAGCCCCCATGCAGTCTTTTGATTTTGATGTTTTTTATAATCTAATAAATCACCTCCTTTTGCAATTGAAATGTTCAGTCTGTTCATGTGGGCTTGTTGATACAAATGTAAATATATTTGCATACACAGCCCTGATTGGCGGATAGGATCGTCTAGACCAGGGGCGTCAAACTCATTTCATGGAGGGCCTAGTGTCTGAAGGTTTTTGTTTTTTCCTTTCAATTAAGCCCTAGACAACCAGGTGTGAGGAGTTCCTTACTAATTAGTGACCTTAATTCATCAATCAAGTACAAGGGATGAGCAAAAACCCACAGCCACTCGGCCCTCCGTGGAATGAGTTTGACACCTGTGGTCTAGACTCTAGAGCCTACCCCGCTTACCCATTCAAAGTAGGAGGATACATATGCAAAAAAGGATGTCTGGTCATTGGTCAGAATAATCAGATCAGATTTTGATGTCATGCTCTGGGCCAAAAACTCCATCCCACCTGAAAAGACAGAAATTTCAGGCAAAAAGTAAATACAATTCTTACACTAAAAGAGCATTATCATCATGTTATTTTGACCTAATAGTGTGGAAATATATTTTAAAACATTTACAGGAAAATTGAGTTTTTGACTGCACTGCCCCTTTAACAGTGATGACTGAGACACTGAGGTCTGTCCTACCCGGGACCAGGCTGGGCTAGGCTGGGCTATCTGTCAGGGCTGGGCTGGGCTGGGTGTCTCAGTGAAGGCTGCCATATGCGTGTCAGGGATTACCCATCTGTTGCTGGGATGAAAGGGGCTGTATCCGTGTGGGAGGATAATGATGGGGAGGAGGCAGGAAGGGACCTGGGGTTAGGACCGTCTTTATTTCTGCTTGAATGCTTTGTGCTGTCAAAAGATATCCAAATAGATAGTATTTTTTGTTTTCCTTGGATATTGTAACCTATGAAGGTACTGTATATCAAAGTGGCAGTAGTTTAGCTTAGCCTGTCCTTTCTCTATCATATTCAGATAGAAGAAGCCATTTGGTATGAGAGACCATGTGGTGTAAAACATGATTTTAAACCTACAGTGTCTGAAGAGGGCCAATTGCAATCCATAGCTCTCCTCATGTCATTTAGATGTTGAGATGAATAGGCAACCTCTCATGTTCGCCAGACACTCAGACAGACATAAAGGGGTCCAGAGAGGGTCTGTGTAGAGTGTATGAACACTTGAGTGGATTGTTCAGAATATTGCCGTCCTTCAGGTCTGGAAAACACAAGACGTCTCTTCAGGGAGCACTGAAGGGTCCCCATTCAAATAGTTTGAAAGCCTTTCTGTTCTTTCTTGTTAAAATACCATCCTACCACCAACAATGCTTTGTTGTATGAAGTTATTATTATATCTACTTTTCATTTAATTTATAACATTTCTGTCCATTGTCTTCCTCACATGGCCTCACAAGCTTCAAGTTACCGTTAATTAATGTAAGTGATTAAGGACTTAGAAAGGTAATGGAGTCATTTCACCAAGTACAGTGAGGGAAAAAAGTATTTGATCCCCTGCTGATTTTGTACTTTTGCCCACTGACAAAGAAATGATCAGTCTATAATTTTAATGGTAGGTTTATTTGAACAGTGAGAGATAGAATAACAACAAAAAAATCCAGAAAAATGCATGTCAAAAATGTTATAAATTGATTTGCATTTTAATGAGGGAAATAATTATTTGACCCCCTCTCAATCAGAAAGATTTCTGGCTCCCAGGTGTCTTTTATACAGGTAATGAGCTGAGATTAGGAGCACACTCTTAAAGGGAGTGCTCCTAATCTCAGCTTGTTACCTGTATAAAAGACACCTGTCCACAGAAGCAATCAATCAATCAGATTCCAAACTCTCCACCATGGCCAAGACCAAAGAGCTCTCCAAGGATGTCAGGGACAAGATTGTAGACCTACACAAGGCTGGAATGGGCTACAAGACCATCGCCAAGCAGCTTGGTGAGAAGGTGACAACAGTTGGTGCGATTATTCGCAAATGGAAGAAACACAAAATAACTGTCAATCTCCCTCGGCCTGGGGCTCCATGCAAGATCTCACCTCGTGGAGATGCAATGATCATGAGAACGGTGAGGAATCAGCCCAGAACTACACGGGAAGATCTTGTCAATGATCTCAAGGCAGCTGGAACCATAGTCACCAAGAAAACAATTGGTAACACACTACGCCGTGAAGGACTGAAATCCTGCAGCGACCGCAAGGTCCCCCTGCTCAAGAAAGCACATATACATGCCCGTCTGAAGTTTGCCAATGAACATCTGAATGATTCAGAGGAGAACTGGGTGAAAGTGTTGTGGTCAGATGAGACCTAAATCGAGCTCTTTGGCATCAACTCAACTCGCCGTGTTGAGGAGGAATGCTGCCTATGACCCCAAGAACACCATCCCCACCGTCAAACATGGAGGTGGAAACATTATGCTTTGGGGGTGTTTTTCTGCTAAGGGGACAGGACAACTTCACCGCATCAAAGGGACGATGGACGGGGCCATGTACCATCAAATCTTGGGTGAGAACCTCCTTCCCTCAGCCAGGGCATTGAAAATGGGTCGTGGATGAGTATTCCAGCATGACAATGACCCAAAACACACGGCCAAGGCAACAAAGGAGTGGCTCAAGAAGTAGCACATTAAGGTCCTGGAGTGGCCTAGCCAGTCTCCAGACCTTAATCCCATAGAAATCTGTGGAGGGAGCTGATGGTTCGAGTTGCCAAATGTCAGCCTCGAAACCTTAATGACTTGGAGAAGATCTGCAAAGAGGAGTGGGACAAAATCCCTCCTGAGATGTGTGCAAACCTGGTGGCCAACTACAAGAAACGTCTGACCTCTGTGATTACCAACAAGGGTTTTGCCACCAAGTACTAAATCATGTTTTGCAGAGGGGTCAAATACTTATTTCCCTCATTAAAATGCATAGACTGATAATTTCTTTGTCAGTAGGCAAACGTACAAAATCAGCAGGGGATCAAATACTTTTTTCCCTCACTGTATAACTTGATATTTGTTTACATTTACAATTTAGTCATTTAGCAGATGCTCTTATCCAGAGCAACTTACAGTTAGTGCATTCATCTTAAGATAGCTGGGTTGGACAACCACATATCGCAGGCATAGTAAGTCTGCTTACAAATGCAAGTGTTGGTAAAATGAATAGTGTTTCTGCAATAACCCAATCCTCAGCCAGATGCATTGTTGGGCTGCCATAACCTTGCATTATCCAGTTAATGACATACATTTGCTGTCAGCCTAGGCCTTTTCACTTTGTCACAAAGCATGTAACATTGAGGGCCATTTCTGTGTGTTACACAGTTGTGGTCAAATATATTGGTACCCTTGCACAATTCACTATTTCTTGTAAAATAAGTTGAAATTGAAAAAACTTTTGTTGTTCACATGTGTGTGCACAGGACCAAGAGGAAAAAATATCTAAACTGAAATTTAGATTTTTCCTTAGAAATTTAAAGAAATGGCTTGGACTAAATTATTCCAAATAATTTGTTTTAAGGCAAGTGATTCTCGTTTAAGTGTAATTTATCTCACCTGACCTGTGGTAAGTGGCTGGTGCATACTGGGTAAAAAAGTTATAAGCCATTTAATCAGTTTCAAAAGAGAAAACAGAACATTCTGCTCCATTGCACTCCATTGTAAAGTGCAAGGGTGCCAATATATTAGAATATACAGTATATTATACGACAACTGTAGCCTTTTGTCATCTCAAGCATTGGGTCAGGTGATGCAAGCTCAGTTAGCTTTGTGTTCAGTTTATGTAGTAGTTGTTGTTATTGCATGCCTTGAACCCTAGCTGATCCTTTCTATCTGAAATTCAAAATATAACCGTTTCTCTGTAAGTGGAATAGTCAAATCACTACAACCTTTTTGAACTTTTGAACTTTTTTCAAACCCACTTTACATAATGTGTGCCTAGAAGGTGTTTAGGCGGAATCTTTCACTGAAACTGTATATATATTTTTAAAAATGTAAGGTTGTTGTCCCTTCCATAATGGCATCACTCTGAAGTGAAGCTCCCATTGAGCACTCCCACTGAGCACTTTTACTATACATTGTGGCAAACTGTAGTTGGAGACAAACTGACCTTTTTAGAGTGCCTTTAGATGTTTTATAAAATATATATCTAACAGCTGTTGTCACTACAGGACTTAATAGGTTGTAAGGTTATAATTGACTGTGATGTAGAACTTATTTTATGTGTGCCCGTCTTTTCCCATGAAGTTAAAAAAAGAGTTGGCAGTAGTTTGTACATCATTTTCTCTGTGGGTTCAAGGTGCCAACAAAGCTATTTACATTGCCTTCATTGTATATGTGCAAAGCAACCTGCATAGCAACACAAGTCTGTTATAGCTGTCAGCCAGGTTGTTATGTTCAAGTGTGGTTGAGAAGTATTGATGTTATTTCACTCTCTAGATATATGCAATGACTAGAGCCCATTTTACTGTTACAGTTAAATCAACTTATAAAGGCAGAGCTGGTTTTCTGTGCCACATGTTCAGCTGAAGTGTATCTATGGGAACAGCTTGAGCTGGATCTCTTCAAATTTAATAATGGTACAGGTAAGCTCATGAACTTCCTTGGCCCATGAATGTAGGATGTAGGAGGGAGGGAGAGAGAGAGAATGAGTGTATGTATTGTAATGATCCGGGCTGGGTCATGAAGGAAAAAGAGACGGACACCAGGTGTGCAGGGCAGAACACAGGTTTATTCCTAAACTGGGCTATTGTTCAGGCCACAGCCCACGCCGCTAAATTCCGAACGTACACAAATACACAATGTCAAGTTAAGTGGCAGACTCATAGGAACAGATCAGGATCCCGAATAGAAAGAGAGAGAGATGAGACAGTAACCCCTATTTATGCATTTCAAAACCCTGCGGGATTACCCATCATACCCCCCCAACCTTTCCGTCTGTCCTGGCATATTTAACCCCTGCTAGCACCCATGAGAACAATAACACACCAACGAACACAGAACACAATACCGGGTCATTACAGTATGTATGTGTGTGTGTGTGTGTGTGTGTGTGTGTGTGTGTGTGTGTGTGTGAGAGAGAGAGAGATGTGGTGTGTGTGTGTGTGAGTGAGTGTGTGTGTGGGCGAGATGTGGTGTGTGTGTATGTGAGTGAGTGTGTGTGTGTGTGTGTGTGTGTGTGTGTGTGTGAGAGAGATGTGTTGTGTGTGAGAGAGAGAGATGTGGTGTGTGTGAGTGTGTGTGTGTGTGTGTGTGTGTGAGTGAGTGTGTGCACTATTTTCATCTTCATTCTGTCTAAAGGAGGCACATCAATCAGATCAGATAAGCAGCTTTTATAAGTGAGCTGATGGGGTAAAAGAGACGACCGCTGAAAGATTTGTAAGATGTGTATTTCACTCCAGGGAATATCTTTAAGCAAGTAGGAGAATATTTTCTCAAAATACAGCTAGCATGCTAATTACCCACATACGAATAAGAAGCATGCACATTTCAAATAAATCAACCTTTCAAAAGTATCAAACCTACACTACCGTTCAAGAGTGTGGGGTCACTTAGAAGTTTCCTTGTTTTCGAAAGAAAAGCAATTTTTTTGTCCATTAAAATAACATCAAATTGATCAGAAATACAGTGTAGACATTGTTAATGTTGTAAATGGCTATTGTAGCTAGAAACAGCTGATTTTTAATGGAATATCTACATAGGTGTTCAGAGGCCCATTATCAGCAACCATCAGTCCTGTGTTCCAATGGCACGTTGTGTTTGCTAATCCAAGTTTATCATTTTAAAAGGCTAATTGATCATTAGAAAACAATTTTGCAATTATGTTAGCACAGCTGAAAACTGTTGTGCTGATTAAAGAAGCAATATATCTGGCCTTCTTGAGACTAGTTGAGTATCTGGAGCATCAGCAATTGTGGGTTCGATTACAGGCTCAAAATGGCCAGAAACAAATAACTTTCTTCTGAAACTCGTCAGCCTATTCTTGTTCTGGGAAATGAAGGCTATTCCATGTGAGAAATTGTTAAGAAACTGAAGATCTCGTACAACGCTTTGTACTACTCCCTTCACAGAACAGCGCAAACTGGCTCTAACCAGAATAGAAAGAGGAGTGGGAGGCCCCGGTGCCCAACTGAGCAAGAGGACAAATACATTAGAGTGTCTAGTTTGAGAAACAGACGCCTCACAGGTCCTCAACTGGCAGCTTCATTAAATAGTTGCAAAGAAAAAGCCATATCTCAGACTGGCCAATAAAAAGAAAAGATTAAGATGGGCAGTCTGAGATATGGCTTTTTTTTTCCGCCTCTTCACTGTTGACATTGAGACTGGTGTTTTGCGGGTACTATTTAATGAAGTTGCCAGTTGAGGACCTGTGAGGCGCCTGTTTCTCAAACTAGACACTCTAATGTATTTGTCCTTTTGCTCAGTTGTGCACCGGGGCCTCCCACTCCTCTTTCTATTCTGGTTAGAGCGACCCACTAGGTGTCATCCTCCGACAACCTTAGGCACCTCCTCACTCACAGTCTGGACTAATCATTATCTTATTGGTGTCACCTGTGTCTACCTGTTCACCCTCACTTCCCTGTGTTCCCTTGCTCTGTTTTGTCTGCTAGTTCTCGATGCCAAACAGTACTAATCAGTGTCTGATCGCGAGACGTATGTACAGGTACTTGAGAAGAGTTCTCCCTGTTTCATTGTTGTTTTCAGTCATAGTTAGTATTTCGTGTGTTTGCTGTCAGCCTGTTTTTGGAGACTAATTTGCTCCTCCTTTATTTTTTGTGTGACAAGTCCGTTATTTTGTATCCTGGTTTTGGGACCACCAGTAAAGATCCTTGTTTCACCATCTCTGCCTACAGCCGACTGTCTATTCTGCACCGCACCTGGGTCACACCTCACTCCAACCCTTACACCTAAGTGGGATAATAATGAGAGAAGTTGCAGCATAGGATTTTTCTTTGTGGGCTTTTCAGTTGTTTTTGTGAAGTCAGGTCAGATGATGCCAGCAGGCAGAATGGGAGAGAGAACAGCACTCTCTGTAGAAATACGTACTGTACCTTTGAGAGTTAGCATCTTGGCTGTGATTTCAAGGCTCCTTAGGGGAATAGTGTTGTCTCCCCAGGGACTAAAGTGACATGCCACTGTGTGTTTGTTGTCAGCTCAATCTACGGGGCCACAGAAACGTGGCACAAAGCACTTTCCATTAGGATGAACAGTTGCTCTGCTGTATTCTGTATTCTCTCCCTGCGTAGCTGTATCTCTGTCAGACCAACCAAATCAAAGCACATTTATATTCATAAGCCATTATGTCTGATGGTCGGGGCTCTCTGCACGTTTATCTCTCTTCTCTTTGGTCTGTCAGAGGATTGGGGGGGGGGGGGGGGGGGGGGGGGGGGGGTGGGCTGCCACCGAGAAGGATGGGTTGAGGTGTAAAAAGATGTGTATGATGGATGTGTGATGGGACAGTTTTTATCACTGTGAGTGGCGAGAGAGAGAGATGTTCTTTCTCCTCTTCACTCCACTTAACATTAGTGCAGGCTGAGCAGCCAATCACCCTAACCTATTCTCATATTGAGAGGAAGGCCAGGGACAGACAGGCAGTGTAGACACCACTTATTGACAGCACATAGAGAGGACATCTCAACACTGAAATAAAGCCAGGGTTGCTGCCTTTCAACAGCCTCATAGTGCCTGAAATGGTGTTAATGAGGTTTGATATTCACCCCCTGCTCCAATTATACAGCCAGATTAGATCAATATGCATGCATTGTCAGCAACAAGTGGTGAGTGCACGGAGCGATATGACAGCCCATTTTTACAGTAAACAAGCAGTATGCGTTGATGATGGCCCTTCAGACAATCTCTGGTTCCTCCCCCCTTCAATTGTTCATGGTCTGTGGAACTACAGTTGTATCAGGCTACAGGAATGGATATTGTTATGGTGAATGCATCCATGATATCAGATGGGCAGCCTACAGTTCACCACTTCAAAGTGTTGTCCAACTGTTATCAGCAGGTCAACTCAATGGGATCATTCAGTCACCAGAAACAGTCCCAGTCTGAAAGCTGGTGAGAGTATGTCCCCAGGGAGGTAACTGAGTTAAAGTGTGTTTCTCCTTTGGCCTGCACTGAACTGCCCTGGTCCAGTCTGTACTTACCTGGTCATCCCTTCACTGTGTGTTTGCAGAGCTCCCTTGCTTTATAATTGGCTCTATGGCTGCCTCTTCTGTTTGTCTGTTTTCTTTAATACACACACATGAGAACACACATACAGACTCTCATGCACACACACACACATAGTAAAATCACACATGTAGATACCCAGGAGAGCCTGAGTTGGTGGTTATTTCCCCATTCTCTCACACCGCTGGTTAGTTTGTACACTCAGTGGTATTGGGGTCTTATCAGTAGCAGGGAAGTGCTCAGTGGCAACAGCCCAGAGATTGAATACATTCATCTGACCACATGGCTGAAATGGGAGGCTGAGGTCTGGTCTGCCGCTATAGCAGCCTGCTAATCAGTGTGTAGTGTAAGTAGTGTGTAACTGCGGTAATCACAGGGGGAGAGCAGCCATAGAACAGGATGTCATATGGTGCTCAGCAACAGACCAAGTTCTCTTCCATTGAGGATCCCGTTTGAGGTTTAACATCAGAACAGGGTTAGGTTTGTAGAGTAGCTGTATTACATTTTACATTTACATTTTAGTCATTTAGCAGACGCTCTTATCCAGAGCGACTTACAGTTAGTGAATATATATATATTTTTTTTTTTTCATACTGGTCCCCCGTGGGAATCGAACCCACAACCCTGGCGTTGCAAACGCCATGCTCTATCAACTGAGCTACATCCCTGCCGGCCATTCCCTCCCCTACCCTGGACAACGCTAGGCCAATTATGCGCTGCCCATGAGTCTCCCGGTCGCGGCCGGCTGCGACAGAGCCTGGATATATTACCCCAGGAGACTGAATGATCTCAGCCTCTGATCTGAGTTGAAGAATACTCTCTGTCTGTCTGTGTGTGTCTCTCTCTCTCGCTCTCTTTCTCTCTCTATACAGTGAGGGAAAAAAGTATTTGATCCCCTGCTGATTTTGTAAGTTTGCCCACTGACAAAGACATGATCAGTCTATAATTTTAATGGTAGGTTTATTTGAACAGTGAGAGACAGAATAACAACAAAAAAAATCCAGAAAAACGCATGTCAAAAATGTTATAAATTGATTTGCATTTTAATTAGGGAAATAAGTATTTGACCCCTCTGCAAAACATGACTTAGTACTTGGTGGCAAAACCCTTGTTGGCAATCAGAGGTCAGACGTTTCTTGTAGTTGGCCACCAGGTTTGCACACATCTCAGGAGGGATTGTGTTCCACTCCTCTTTGCAGATCTTCTCCAAGTCATTAAGGTTTCGAGGCTGACGTTTGGCAACTCGAACCTTCAGCTCCCTCCACAGATTTTCTATGGGAGGTTCTATGAGACTGGCTAGGCCACTCCAGGACCTTAATGTGCTTCTTCTTGAGCCACTCCTTTGTTGCCTTGGCCGTGTGTTTTGGGTCATTGTCATGCTGGAATACCCATCCACGACCCATTTTCAGTGCCCTGGCTGAGGGAAGGAGGTTCTCACCCAAGATTTGACGGTACATGGCCCCGTCTATCGTTCCTTTGATGCGGTGAAGTTGTCCTGTCCCCTTAGCAGAAAAACACCCCCAATGCATAATGTTTCCACCTCCATGTTTGACGGTGGGGATGGTGTTCTTGGGGTCATAGGCAGCATTCCTCCTCCTCCAAACACGGCGAGTTGAGTTGATGCGAAAGAGCTCGATTTTGGTCTCATCTGACCACAACACCTTCACCCAGTTCTCCTCTGAATCATTCAGAAGTTCATTGCCAAACTTCAGACGGCCCTGTATATGTGCATTCTTGAGAGAGAGGATCTTGCGGGCGCTGCAGGATTTCAGTCCTTCACGGCGTAGTGTGTTACCCATTGTTTTCATGGTGACTATGGTCCCAGCTGCCTTGAGATCATTGACAAGATCCTCCCGTGTACTTCTGGGCTGATTCCTCACCGTTCTCATGGTCATTACAACTCCACGAGGTGAGATCTTGCATGGAGCCCCAGGCCGAGGGAGATTCTTCCATTAGCGAATAATCGCACCAACTGTTGTCACCTTCTCACCAAGCTGCTTGGCGATGGTCTTGTAGCCCATTCCAGCCTTGTGTAGGTCTACAATCTTGTCCCTGACATCCTTGGAGAGCTCTTTGGTCTTGGCCATGGTGGAGAGTTTGGAATCTGATTGATTGATTGCTTCTGTGGACAGGTGTATTTTATACAGGTAACAAGCTGAGATTAGGAGCACTCCCTTTAAGAGTGTGCTCCTAATCTCAGCTCGTTACCTGTATAAAAGACACCTGGGAGCCAGAAATCTTTCTGATTGAGAGGGGGTCAAATACTTATTTCCCTCATAAAAATGCAAATCAATTTATAACATTTTTGACATGCGTTTTTCTGGATTTTTTTGTTGTTATTCTGTCTCTAACTGTTCAAATAAACCTACCATTAAAATTATAGACTGATCATTTCTTTGTCAGTGGGCAAATGTACAAAATCAGCAGGGGATCAAATACTTTTTCCCCTCACTGTATATATATATATACAGTGGGGAGAACAAGTATTTGATACACTGCCGATTTTGCAGGTTTTCCTACTTACGAAGCATGTAGAGGTCTGTAATTTTTATCATAGGTACACTTCAACTGTGAGAGACGGAATCTAAAACAAAAATCCAGAAAATCACATTGTATGATTTTTAAGTTATTAATTTGCATTTTATTGCATGACATAAGTATTTGATCACCTACTAACCAGTAAGAATTCCGGCTCTCACAGACCTGTTAGTTTGTCTTTAAGAAGCCCTCCTGTTCTCCACTCATTACCTGTATTAAATGCACCTGTTCGAACTCAGTTGTTGCCTTCTCATCAAGCTTCTTGCCTATTGTCCTGTAGCGAGTGGTAATCTATGACATAATACCATCCTGACAGAATACACTGTGATCTGGGATACAACACTTTCCTTTAACAGAGCGTTCTGTGTCTGAAATATTACACTGTAAGTTGTGATACAATAATGGTCCTGACAGAGAGAGAGGGAATTTCTGTTAGCTGGATGCAGTAATGCTCCTAGAGTATTCCGCTTCACAATGCACTCTGCAACAGTGTCTGCCAAGTAGAATACATTCCTGATATGAATCTGATTAAGGGCTGCTACAACAACAGGGAATGTCATAGGATAGAACTCCTTTGTGTGTGCTTGCATGCATATGTCTGTATATCTTTCTTTCCACCCAAACTTGTGTGTTTGCTTGAGTCCTGCTGGCTTAACTTTAAATTCAGGTGAGGTGCGCTATGAAATATTTTAGTGCTGCTACTTCACCCCGGACAGCCTCAGTACAGCCCTCAGACTACTTAACCTGGCAGTCACAGACAGACAGAGAGTCTGCGTCCCAAATGCAGCCTATGGACCTGGTCAAAAGTAGTGCACTATAAAGGGAATATGGTGCCATTTGGGACAGCCAGTGTTAGTGTCCCCTGGCCACATGTTCTCTCTGAGTCAGATCATTCCCAAGAAAGGTGAACATCACTACCCCCCACCCCATCCCCTTGGGGCTGAATGAGGACAGCCTTCACACTGTGTTGAACAGGGATGATAGCAGGGTCTGGTCAGATGGGCCTGGTCAGGCCTAAACTAAACACTCCATCCACACCAACTAGCCTGGGAGATTGGCCTGGATGAAGTCTTTGAAAGGAGACAATCTCTGGAACTAGGGGACAGAGAACAGCTCTGTCAGAGAGAGAGTCAGAGAGAGAATCAGAGAGAGAGAGAGAGTCAGAGAGACAGAGTGAAGAGAAAGTCAGAGATAGAATGAATAGAGTGAGTGAATGTGACAGAGAGCAGGGAGGGTATGAGAAACAATCTCTCAAGTTAGCGAAAAAGAGTGTGAGGTGTTAGAGAGAGCAGTTTGGGTTGTACTTCAAATCAAAGTCTGAGTTAAATTGTTCCAGCATTCTTTTAATTGAGGACGGTGTAGATTAAGCTGAAACAAAAGGATCTCCCTCCCCTTACTTTTTAATCCTGCACAACCCACATGAGAAGCACAATTATTGAGTAATACTGTCAAAACAGACATTGTCTTGCAGCCGTGCGCATACTTGCGTGCATGTGTTTGGGCTTGAGTAAGTGTGTGGTGCGTGTGCATGCGTTTGTGTGTGTGTGTGTGTGTGTGTGTGTGTGTGTGAGCGATGGGATGGAGAGTGTTGGGAATGAAGGACAGAGAGAGGAGTTTGACAATAGGTTCATGTTCAACTCAATAGCATTCGAGAGATGTGAATGATGCGAGGGAGAGAACATGATGCTTTTAATAGCTTCTAAATGTAAGTCACTTCAAGTGGAGCGTGATTCAGACAGGGTAATCTACCTTGAACAAAACAACATACACTATCCCTCACTTGTCAGCGCCAGGTCCACTGTGGTGATGATGATGATGGCAAAAACTTTATTTTAAACAGAAAATTGCATAGCTCTAAGGAAGCCAGATGTCCTTGTATGTGGTGACCAGTAGTGTCCCTCTGTCCCTCGAGTTCCAGACCACTAAATAGAAACCAGCTGTCTATATGCCAGTTGACCAGTCTTGTCCCTCTGTTTCTGTCTGTCCCTCCAGTTCCAGACCACTGAATAGAAACCAGCTGTCTATATGCCAGTTGACCAGTCTTGTCCCTCTGTCTCTGTCTGTCCCTCCAGTTCCAGGCCAATGTGGACGAGGGCTCCACTGGGGTGGTGGTCAACCTGACTGTGGACGACAGAGATGACCCTGCGACGGGGGCGTGGCGAGCAATCTATTCCATCATCAACGGTGACCCCACCCAGAGCTTCGAGATCCAAACCAACCCCGACAACAACGAGGGCATGCTTTCCCTCATCAAGGTAACCACAGGGCCCAAAAGCTATCTCAATTATCTCTCTCAAATATCTCTCTCACATATCTCTCAAATATCTCTCTTAATTATCTCTCTCAAATATCTCTCATCTCTCTTAATGATGGATGAGCTAATAAAGGTGTGTTTGTGGTGTCATTATAACAGGCAGGTTGGATGGTGATATTATATACTGCACGATTTGGCCAATTCACTGGAGATATGAATAATATAATAATAAAAATATGAACATACAGGTTGCACAGTAAAGATCCTGTAGCACTCACAGTTTTTATTGCTCTCATTATTCCAATAAATGTGTGTTGTCATGCAATATAGCAATGCAGAATACAGGAATACAGGATATCTGTAACCTTGGTAACATTGTATGTTTCACTCTAGTACACTGCAGTTTGCCCCTTTACTCTCATGTGTCATTTTCACCTACATGACTCACATACTATAAGAGCAACCCGTTACACACTGAGTGTCCAAAACATTAGGAACACTTGCCCTTTCCATGACATAGACTGACCAGGTGAAAGCTATGATCCCTTACTGATGTCACTTGTTAAATCCACTTCAATCAGTGTAGATGAAGGGGAAGAAACAGGTTAAATTATGATTTCTAAGCCTTGAGACAATTGAGACATGGATTGTGTATGTGTGCCATTCAGGGTGAATGGGCAAAATAAAATATTTAAGTGCATTTGAACGGGGTATGGTAGTAGGTGATAGGCGCACCAGTTTGAGTGGGGCAAGAACTGCAACGCTGCTGGGTTTTTCACGCTCAACAGTTTAATATGTTTATCAAGGACATCCAGCCAACTTGACACAACTGTGGGAAGCATTGGAGTCAAAATGGGCCAGCATCTCTGTGGAACACTTTCGACACCTTGTAGAGTCCATGCCCTGACAAATTGAGGCTGTTCTGAGGGCAAAAGGGGGTGCAACTCAATATTAGGAAGGTATTCCGATTGTTTTGTACACTCAGTATGGAAGTGACATGTTAACTACATGATAAACACTCTCATCTCTTCTCCTCTCCTCTCCTCTCCTCTCCTCCTCCAGCCTCTAGACTATGAGAGCTTAGTGTTCCACACGCTGCTGATCAAGGTGGAGAACGAGGACCCCCTGGTGCCAGAGGTGGGCTACAGCTCCAGTTCTACAGCCACCGTACACATCACCATCCTGGACGTCAACGAGGGACCCGTCTTCTTCCCCGACCCCCTCCAGGTCACCAAGATGGAGAACATCCCCCTGGGCAGCTTCGTGGCCTTACTCAACGCCACCGACCCAGACGTCCTCCAATCACAGAGCATCAGGTGAGAGATGAGGTCATCAACCTGCGCCAGGTAGAACATTCTGCAGCATCCAGAGTTCCACACTTCCACTTCTGGCTCGGGTTGAAGTTGAAATGTAATCTCATGGACATTAGGTCCACACTGACTGCCAGCTTGTCAACAATGAGCTGTGTGCAGGTCTGTTTATGTGCAGTAAATCTCATCAGGTGTTGATTCCACAGATGCTCCTCTTGGTTATTGATTGAAACTGGTCAAGGGGGAGAGTCAGGGTTCAAAAACAATGATGTACAATGAAGTTTGTTCTTACTCTTTTCACCTCTTTACCATCTCTCAACTTCATAGTTTGTCTATGGTATTGAAAGATAGAGATTCTTCTCAGTGAGCTTCTCTATGTAAGTGTGACAAGGTGATTTAACAAAGACAACCTATCAGAAGTGTAGCCTAGCATGACAGCACGCCTCATGGTTTCCAGACATCTCTCCATCTGTTTCAGCTCTTACCTTTTTCTCTCTCCATCCCTCCATCCCTCAACTGTCCCGCCCTGTCTATCACCAGACAACCTATTTATCATCTTATGCATGTCAGCCAACCGCCTCGTATAAAACTGCCTGTCTGGCCGTCAACTTTCTGTAAACAGTCCAATTATTCCTCTGTCACCAGGGTGGCCTATTACTAGAGAGGCGTGTTCAGGTCAACTCTATTCTCTATGTCTAGGAGATATATTACTTTTTGCTGTGTGTAACAGTCAACTTGTTCCCTGGAAGCCTTGGGGAGCCATTAAGTATAGGTGAACTTCTCTTGCTTTACAAGAGGGGAAAGTCGTGATTGCTTTATGGGCTTTAAGCACAGATTTATGCTACATTTGTGATGCTGCAGTTCGTGAATTGTTGGTGTTACATCATATTTTAAAGATTTGTATGTAAATATATCAGGCCATAGATACAGTGGGGAAAAAAAGTATTTAGTCAGCCACCAATTGTGCAAGTTCTCCCACTTAAAAAGATGAGAGAGGCCTGTAATTTTCATCATAGGTACACGTCAACTATGACAGACAAAATGAGAAAAAAAATCCAGAAAATCACATTGTAGGATTTTTTATGAATTTATTTGCAAATTATGGTGGAAAATAAGTATTTGGTCAATAACAAAAGTTTCTCAATACTTTGTTATATACCCTTTGTTGGCAATGACACAGGTCAAACGTTTTCTGTAAGTCTTCACAAGGTTTTCACACACTGTTGCTGGTATTTTGGCCCATTCCTCCATGCAGATCTCCTCTAGAGCAGTGATGTTTTTGGGGCTGTCGCTGGGCAACACGGACTTTCAACTCCCTCCAAAGATTTTCTATGGGGTTGAGATCTGGAGACTGGCTAGGCTACTCCTGGACCTTGAAATGCTTCTTCCGAAGCCACTCCTTCGTTGCCCGGGCGGTGTGTTTGGGATCATTGTCATGCTGAAAGACCCAGCCACGTTTAATCTTCAATGCCCTTGCTGATGGAAGGAGGTTTTCACACAAAATCTCACGATACATGGCCCCATTCATTCTTTCCTTTACACGGATCAGTCATCCTGGTCCCTTTGCAGAAAAACAGCCCCAAAGCATGATGTTTCCACCCCCATGCGTCACAGTAGGTATGGTGTTCTTTGGATGCAACTCAGCATTCTTTGTCCTCCAAACACGACGAGTTGAGTTTTTACCAAAAAGTTCTATTTTGGTTTCATCTGACCATATCACATTCTCCCAATCCTCTTCTGGATCATCCAAATGCACTCTAGCAAACTTCAGACGGGTCTGGACATGTACTGGCTTAAGCAGGGGGACACGTCTGGCACTGCAGGATTTGAGTCCCTGGCGGCGTAGTGTGTTACTGATGGTCGGCTTTGTTACTTTGGTCCCAGCTCTCTGCAGGTCATTCACTAGGTCCCCCCGTGTGGTTCTGGGATTTTTGCTCACCGTTCTTGTGATCATTTTGACCCCACGGGGTGAGATCTTGCGTGGAGCCCCAGTTCGAGGGAGATTATCAGTGGTCTTGTATGTCTTCCATTTCCTAATAATTGCTCCCACAGTTGATTTCTTCAAACCAAGCTGCTTACCTATTGCAGATTCAGTCTTCCCAGCCTGGTGCAGGTCTACAATTTTGTTTCTGGTGTCCTTTGACAGCTCTTTGGTCTTGGCCATAGTGGAGTTTGGTGTGTGACTGTTTGAGGTTGTGGACAGGTGTCTTTTATACTGATAACAAGTTCAAACAGGTGCCATTAATACAGGTAACGAGTGGAGGACAGAGGAGCCTCTTAAAGAAGAAGTTACAGGTCTGTGAGAGCCAAAAATCTTGCTTGTTTGTAGGTGACCAAATACTTATTTTCCACCATAATTTGCAAATAAATTCATAAAAATTCCTACAATGTGATTTTCTGGAATTCTTTTCCTCAATTTGTCTGTCATAGTTGACGTGTACCTATGATGAAAACTACAGGCCTCTCTCATCTTTTTAAGTGGGAGAACTTGCACAATTGGTGGCTGACTAAATACTTTTTTTCCCCACTGTAGCAGGCCCTCAGTGGAAAGGGTTTTACATGGAATACAAAAGGGTTCTACCTGGAATCAAAAAGGGTTCTACCTGGAATCAAAAAGGGTTCTACCTGGAATCAAAAAGGGTTCTACCTGGAATCAAAAAGGGTTCTACCTGGAATCAAAAAGGGTTCTTCGAAGGGTTCTCCTACGAGGACAACCAAAGAACCCTGTTAGGTTCTAGATAACACCTTTTTTTCTAAGAGTGTACTTTACTGTCTTGCTCTCTCTCTTTTATCTGTGTCTCTGTATTCATTTCTCTCTATCTCTCTTTTTGGGACTTTTGTCTTTTGATCTATTTTTGCCAGTGAAATGGACTTTGAAGTGCCACAGCTTTCACCTTAGGCCAGAGGAGAATGAGGACAGGGGAAGACGTTGTGAGGTGGAGATGGAGATGGAGAAACAGCGTATAGAGAGCAGTGACAGAGAATAAAGGGGAGAGGGTGTAACGGTGTGAGTGTGTGCGCGCGTGTGTGTGTGCGCGCGTGTGTCAAATAAAATAAAAAGTTATTTGTTGCATGCTTTGTAAATAACTGGTGTAGACTAACAATGAAATGCTTACTGACGGGTAATTTTCCAACAATGCAGAGTTAAAGATAAAGATTTTTTTATTTTATATAGAAATAGTGACACAAGGAATAAATACACAGTGAATAACAATAACAAGTAAAAGTAACATGGCTATATACAGGGAGTACCAGTACCGAGTCGATATGCAGGGGTACGAGGTAATTGAGGTAGCTCATTAAAAATGAAAAGCTGAAATGTATTGATTCAATAAGTATTTAACCCCTTTGTTATGGCAAGCCTAAATAAGTTCAGGAGTAAAACTGTGCTTAACAAGTCACATAATAAATTGCATGGACTCACTCTGTGTGCAATAATAGTGTTTAACATGTTTTTTTAATGACTACCTCATCTCTGTACCCCACACATACAATTATCTGTAAGGTCTTTCAGTCGAGCAGTGAATTTCAAACACAGATTCAGCCACAAAGACCAGGGAGATTCTCCAATGCTTCGCAAAGAAGGGCACCTATTGGTAGATGGCAAAAAAAAAAGCAGACATACCCTTTGATCATTGTGAAGTTATTAATTACACTTTGGATGGTGTATCAATACACCCAGTCTCTTCAAAGATTCAGGCGTCCTTCCTAACTCATTTTCCGGAGAGGACGGAAACCACTCAGGGATTTCACCATGAGGCCAATGGTGACTTTAAAACAGTTACAGAGTTTAATGGCTGTGATAGGAAATAAATGAGGATGGATCAACAACATTGTAGTTACTAACTTCATTGACAGAGTGAAAAGATGGAAGCCTGTACAAAATAAAAATATTCCAAAACATGCATCCTCTTTGCAACAAGGCACTAAAGTAATACTGAAAGAAAAAAACGGTAAAAGCAATTAACTTTTTTTACTAGCAATGATCAACAACCAATTTGACAGAATAATTTTGAAAAGAAGGATGGGCTAATGTTGCACTATCCAGGTGTAGAAAGCTCTTAGAGACTTAGCCAGATAGACTCACAGCTGTGATCACTGCCAAAGGTGCTTCTACAAAGTATTGACTCAAGGGCGTGAATATTTATGTAAATGAGTATTTCTGTATTTCATTGTCAATAAACGTGCATACATTTCTAAAAACATATTTTCACTTTGGCATTATGGGGTATTGTGTGTAGATGGGTGAGAAACATTTTTATTTAATCAATTTTGAATTCAGGCTGTAACACAACAAAATGTGGAATAAGTCAAGGGGTATGAATACTTTCTGAAGTTTTGAGAATGACACAAAAGTTTTGAGAATGACACAAATACTAATTTTCACAAAGTCTGCTGACTCAGTTTTGATGATGGCAATTTGCATATACTCCAGAATGTCATGAAGAGTGATCAGATGAATCATGGTCAAAAGTTTTGAGAATGACACAAATACTAATTTTCACAAAGTCTGCTGACTCAGTTTTGATGATGGCAATTTGCATATACTCCAGAATGTCATGAAGAGTGATCAGATGAATCATGGTCAAAAGTTTTGAGAATGACACAAATACTAATTTTCACAAAGTCTGCTGACTCAGTTTTGATGATGGCAATTTGCATATACTCCAGAATGTCATGAAGAGTGATCAGATGAATTGCAATGAATTGCAAAGTCCCTCTTTGCCATGAAAATGAACTTAATCCCCAAAAAACATTTCCACTGCATTTCAGCCCTGCCACAAAAGGACCAGCTGCCATCATGTCAGTGATTCTCTCGTTAACACAGGTGAGAGTGTTGACGAGGACAAGGCTGGAGATCACTCTGTCATGCTGATTGAGTTAGAATAACAGACTGGAAGCTTTCAAAGCAGGGTGGTGCTTGAAATCATTGTTCTTCCTCTGTTAACCATGGTTACCTGCAAGGAAACACGTGATGTTATCATTGCTTTGCACAAAAAGGGCTTCACA